AAGAGGAATCAGAAAAATTCTCTCCTTCGCAATACGTTAAATTAGCGTAAATTGCATCTAAAATGTTCAGGAAAATAATACTGAATACTTTGTAATTTCGGAAACACCCAAGTTCTCCTAGGATGACCGAACAGATACAAATTTTATAGCGCCGCTTATGGGGAATGCATTTCTAGAGATCTAAAAGTACTCTGGATAGCCTAAAAAGTGTTTTCAATGTATTTAGGAAAAAACCGTCGTTGGGTGTCTCTGATCATGTAATGTACGGCTTAGAGTAGTTTCTCCGTCAAAAGCAGTGTCTTCATACATAGATCTAGAATAACGCAGTTTCGTCGTGATTTTGTGGAAAGCGGTGTGACTTATGTTGGAGCGTTAAAATTTCGAGATTTGTACGTTTTTGTGTGATTAATGACATTCATCTCCTCCTAGCCAAAGAAAAGTAGCAGGATGTTTTGTCATGATCCAGAAGTAATGTAATATAATGGCTACTAAGGTCATGTTCCAATCATTTTGTTGGGATATAGAGAAATAGCGTCAGATAGAATTTTAATCCTATAGTGCGCAATGATGTGTCTTCAAAGAACTGTAGACAATTTAAACCACATTTAAGTTTGTGTTACTATATTAACTTTAATATTACAATGTTACACGTCCTTTTCCAAAGCTAAAACAACAGTATGACGTCATGCTTTCTTCCTTTCTCACCAAACGTGCATAAAAATTGTACACGTTGAGGTTACAGAAACTACAATAGTGCCAGAAACTGATAAACAAGCTATTGCATTGATTCTACTCATACAATGAATTGAACATGCAAAGCTCCGAGAAACCTATTTATTTTTCTGCTGCCTGTCAGGATTACGCCCGGCAAAGATGTTGTCTCCTACAAAAAACACAGTGGCAATCACCGTCACCGAAGTAATGGCGGCAACCACAAGCCATGGATTCGCTGTAGTCAAGACAATAGACCCTACACCAAGCAAACTCACAGTTAAACTGTGGTCCATTGATGTTCTCTGCAAAGGAAAGAATTTTTTTGTTTACTTCGTATATTTGTTACTATTAATTCTGCTTCTTCTAGTAACTTTTTAATGTTAAAATTGTTTCGAAGAAACTCATAAAGCGTTCCATCAACTCAGTTTCGCACAACGAATAAATATATCAGCTGCTCAAGATCAACATGGGAGGACAACGTTTATAGTCAGTAATCAAAATCTCCTTTTTGCAAATCTACGCATTCCATAGAAAAATTGGAGAGCGAAAAACTGTGTGCTCATTTAAGGCTAGATCTGCTATAAACCATTCCATTTGAAAAATTTATTTCTCAAATAATAAAGAATTTTGCAAAATAAAAATTTTACAGGTCTATCAAGCGAGAGCTGAACTTTTAGAAAATTTTCACACCTAAGGTGTCATTTCCGATTTATATCGCAGGCTCAAACGTGAGATACAGGGGTGGATTTTTTTGTAATGCCCTGTCATTTCAGGCCGCCTCGAAAAATTCCAAAATGTTCCCTCATCGCCGGGAATTTAAGACGTTTTTCCTTAACATCATGTGAATAAACCTGGCATGTTTCAGCGGGGTATTGTAAATCCTCATCTTTTTACATCAATATGTTTTCAGTGCGGTCCAACGCAGCCGCAAAGTCGCCCCTAATTTTCGTCGCGCTTCCTTTTTTTTCTTCGTCGCCATCTTGAATTCTTACTAGGAAACCGCTGTTTTTAATGTTTGCTGTGACACTGACCCGATTGCAGCACCGAACGTGGTGAGAAACTACGAAAATCTTTGTTTGAACTCGTTTCGTGACGTGCTCTCAATATATATGGCGTCGTAAAAAACAGCCGTAGCAAAGCGCTAATTTGCATAATAAGTCATTTACATGCGGCCTTATCTCTCATCGACCTTGCAAGGATCATATATATAATGTGTCTCTAGAAGTCTTTTTACAGCCATAGAAATGATTTAGAAATATCAAAACAATCGTACTTTATTTGGAGAGGCAGAATGTACGCGAATTTTTTGTAGCCTGATCATGAGTATCAGTCGTTTCTCGGGGAAAAGAAGAAAGATGGAAGCGAAAACGGGAGAGAGCTGAAGAGAGCTTTCTCTTCTCCAAATTATAACAAAACAAAGCTAAGATACCTAAAACCGAATGTCTCCTTGTCTTTCCTGGCCGGTTCAAGTGACATTTTGTCGAGTTTTGCAATCGTAGGTGCTATCCACTAAATAAAGAAGAATTAAAGGCTGGCTGCAAAACAAACGGACTGTCTCCACGCGCCTCCACGCAAATCGCTATAAATTTGAGAATAATCGACGAATCCGCTCCAAATCTGCAGGTAACGTGTGCTCCGGCCTCTTGCTCACTGCCTCGAACCCATCGCAACTGCACGATAATCACTCGCTTATCAACATCACTGTTGACCTTTACGCTCCGCCATGACCGCAAAACGGGCAGGATCCGCGACGTGAATATTCAAGTGAATTGTTTGCATTTATTGCTATGGGATCTATTAGAAACAAACATTTGATCTCCTTTCCCATTAGCTAATAACTGCCATCTAATCTCCCCTCACTGCTCAGCTGGCATGTCAACCACAAAAAGATCTGTTTCCCAATGGGAAATTACCTACCTTGTAAACAAGACATTCTTAGGGGGTTGGCAATGCATTTTATAAGGGGATATAAGGAGAGAACGCCCACAAGGCTGTGTGCTTGGCCTTTGGTTTTAAAATTTTTTTTCAAATGATACACTTTTCCCTTTGACATGTGAAAAAACAGATGTAAAATTACGTGACCGGTGTTGTATTTAATTCTCTATTTCTTTTTTTGGCTACTTCTTGAATTTTGACACCAAAGAATTGGTCAGGCAAGGTATTGATGTTAATAAAAATTTACAATATTCGTTTTTAATGGAAGCCCCCAGTAAGGAGTCAGTAAGAAACATTTAAAGAGAATTTATAATCAACCAATGAAAATCACTATCAACCTCTGAGCGAGGCAGAAGCTAATTTCCTGCACTTTTTTTCCAAACAAACAAACTTGAGGTGAAGTTTACTCTAAAGAGGAATTGTTGAGACCTCTATCAACCGGAGATCGCAATAAAAAATGGAGTAATAATAATATAACGTACCAGAATTTATCACAATTAAAGATACCGGCAACAATTATTTTTTATTCTATGGTTAGAACTGCACAACCTATCACGACATTTGGAGCGAACACGTTCACCAAGTCTATTTGAAGTATCCGCGCTAAGAATAAGAATTTCCAATCTAAAATACATTTTTTTAAATCGACCAAACTCAGAAGAAAGCTATTTTCCTTGTAGTGCCCTTTTAATGTCACGCTTGAAGAAAGCATATGCCAAGGGGTTAATTGCAGAGTTTAGAACTAACATAGGTATTTTATATTTCACGTCACTTGGACACGAAGAGTTCTTTCCCAAAAACATGAGAAGGGTACAGCGAAAGTAAACTGCGAAACAAACTAGAGCGAAGCCTACGACAATTGCCAACATCACAACTGCGGATTTATCATGTGTGTTGATTGTCAAACCGCTGTGGTTGAAACGTAACTGTTTTGCCAAGATGGCTGATGAGCGAGTTTGCTTGTATACAACTGTTACCACGGAAATAAAACAGAAAATTAACATGCAGGTGAAAAAAATCTCAAGGAGCGCAAAACATACGTTTAAGACCATTCTACGTTTAGGAAATGTTACATATAAATCCCAAAAAAACGAAAAAAGAACAAGACAAACAGGCATAAACCAAGAAAAAAATGTTAATTGAATAACACGTCGCGCAGTCATGAAGGTGACGTATTTCAGTGGCTTTGCAACAGCCATATACCGATCAAGTGTCAAGCTGCACAGGTTCATTGTAGAGGCGTACGCAAAGAGCCACCTTGTAAAATCCACCCAGGAAGAATAGGGTCCAGGCCAAATGCAGCCACCTCTGTTGTGACAGAAGAACAGTGAAGGAACAACGAACGCCCCAACACAGAAATCTGCCACCGCAAGCGAAACGATCAGCGCGTTGGTTTTGGTGCGAAGCCGACGCCGACTGCCCACAAGAAGCACGGTGAAACCATTTCCAGTTATCGTCAGAATGGACAGAATCCAGCTAAGAATCCAAAACCAAGTTTCCATTTTATATTCGGTATAGAACTTTAGCTGGGCGTTTAAGTTTATGTCTTTGAAAGAAACCGGTTGGGTAATTTTATAAACACCTGGTCGGTTTTCAATTTCATTCTTCACATTTGAATAAAACTCAAGCTTAACTCAACGAAATACGACTTTCTGGAGACTTCAGGCTCCTATCATTTAATGCAATAAGCCGCTCTGTTTTATTTTGTCTTGATTCACCTGTTGTTAATTCTAATAACCCATATTAATCAAAGGTTGAAAAAAGGCGTTTCCGTTTCCGTTTTTGTCACGGTTACCTCACGGAAACCTGAATATCCGCAGACGGAATTGTAACTAACCGTTGCGGGAAACACGTGTATCCGTCATGTTTCAGTTTCTGCGGAGACGCTTAAAGGCATCCCTTATACTCGCGTTTCCGTCAGGTTTACTCTTGCGGAAACGGCTAACTGCCGTCATGTTTCCGCAGCTCGTAAATTCAGAGGATACTCAATTATATATCCGTTGAGTTTCCGGAACAATGAATGCGGAAACTCAGTTTGACCGGTTTACTTTCTGCAGCCTTCATGTTTCCACAGATTCCACTTTCGGTGGATTATTCACTGGATTTCCTAAATGTGTTAACTTTACTTAACCACCCAGTTTCGAATCATATGTTCATTCTATCCGGTATATAAAAAAGTGGACGTTTGTGAGACAACCCTGGACCGTTTCATGCATCCACAATGACCCATTTTCGCTGATACACACAAATCAAGCTGAGTCATATTTAGGTGCATGTTTGGTATTAAAGTTTTTATTAAAATAATTCTCCATTTTCATATAATATGTACATATGTATATTAAATATTTTCACAATAAAAAGAGACTCCTTACAATGTATTCCTATTTTCTATATCCAAAACTGTAACTTTTCAATTTCAATAGGCCACTTCCGAGTTCCAAAAACCCTCACTTTCAAAATGAGGCGAGGTGCGCAACCTTTCTTGTGAAATGAGTTTTATTTGCATGAGAATGAAAAAAAGATTTCCATATCAAGGCTGAGCACTTAACCTCGTTTTTGAAAAACAGAGGCCCGGGGAACTCGGAAATGGCCTATTAAATAATCCTTTTAGAATTGACAAAATTCAAAATTTTTTTCCTTGAAATGATTAGATTAACATAATAATTATACAGTCTAACCTCTTCTTATGGACACTTCTATACGACGGACAGATCGTTTGGTCCCAGAAAAGCCAAAAATCATGCAATCCCTACCTCTGTAATATAGACACCTCTGTAAAGCGGACACTTGGTTCTGTCCCTTTAGTGTCCGTATTAAAGAGGTTTGACATTAATGTCAAACCTCTTTAATAATTATTATGTTAATCTAATCATTTCAAGGAAAAAATTTTGAATTTTGTCAATTCTAAAAGGATTATTTAATAGGCCATTTCCGAGTTCCCCGGGCCTCTGTTTCAAAACGAGGTTAAGTGCTCAGCCTTTGATATGGAAATCTTTTTTCATTCTCATGCAAATAAAACTCATTTCACAAGAAAGGTTGCGCACCTCGCCTCATTTTGAAAGTGAGGGTTTTTGGAACTCGGAAGTGGCCTATTGAAATTGAAAAGTTACAGTTTTGGATATAGAAAATAGGAATACATTGTAAGGAGTCTCTTTTTATTGTGAAAATATTTAATATACATATGTACATATTATATGAAAATGGAGAATTATTTTAATAAAAACTTTAATACCAAACATGCACCTAAATATGACTCAGCTTGATTTGTGTGTATCAGCGAAAATGGGTCATTGTGGATGCATGAAACGGTCCAGGGTTGTCTCACAAACGTCCACTTTTTTATATACCGGATAGAATGAACATATGATTCGAAACTGGGTGGTTAAGTAAAGTTAACACATTTAGGAAATCCAGTGAATAATCCACCGAAAGTGGAATCTGTGGAAACATGAAGGCTGCAGAAAGTAAACCGGTCAAACTGAGTTTCCGCATTCATTGTTCCGGAAACTCAACGGATATATAATTGAGTATCCTCTGAATTTACGAGCTGCGGAAACATGACGGCAGTTAGCCGTTTCCGCAAGAGTAAACCTGACGGAAACGCGAGTATAAGGGATGCCTTTAAGCGTCTCCGCAGAAACTGAAACATGACGGATACACGTGTTTCCCGCAACGGTTAGTTACAATTCCGTCTGCGGATATTCAGGTTTCCGTGAGGTAACCGTGACAAAAACGGAAACGGAAACGCCTTTTTTCAACCTTTGATTAATATGGGTTATTAGAATTAACAACAGGTGAATCAAGACAAAATAAAACAGAGCGGCTTATTGCATTAAATGATAGGAGCCTGAAGTCTCCAGAAAGTCGTATTTCGTTGAGTTAAGCTTGAGTTTTATTCAAATGTGAAGAATGAAATTGAAAACCGACCAGGTGTTTATAAAATTACCCAACCGGTTTCTTTTTCAAAGACATAAACTTAAACGCCCAGCTAAAGTTCTATACCGAATATAAAAATGGAAACTTGGTTTTGGATTCTTAGCTGGATTCTGTCCATTCTGACGATAACTGGAAATGGTTTCACCGTGCTTCTTGTGGGCAGTCGGCGTCGGCTTCGCACCAAAACCAACGCGCTGATCGTTTCGCTTGCGGTGGCAGATTTCTGTGTTGGGGCGTTCGTTGTTCCTTCACTGTTCTTCTGTCACAACAGAGGTGGCTGCATTTGGCCTGGACCCTATTCTTCCTGGGTGGATTTTACAAGGTGGCTCTTTGCGTACGCCTCTACAATGAACCTGTGCAGCTTGACACTTGATCGGTATATGGCTGTTGCAAAGCCACTGAAATACGTCACCTTCATGACTGCGCGACGTGTTATTCAATTAACATTTTTTTTCTTGGTTTATGCCTGTTTGTCTTGTTCTTTTTTCGTTTTTTTGGGATTTATATGTAACATTTCCTAAACGTAGAATGGTCTTAAACGTATGTTTTGCGCTCCTTGAGATTTTTTTCACCTGCATGTTAATTTTCTGTTTTATTTCCGTGGTAACAGTTGTATACAAGCAAACTCGCTCATCAGCCATCTTGGCAAAACAGTTACGTTTCAACCACAGCGGTTTGACAATCAACACACATGATAAATCCGCAGTTGTGATGTTGGCAATTGTCGTAGGCTTCGCTCTAGTTTGTTTCGCAGTTTACTTTCGCTGTACCCTTCTCATGTTTTTGGGAAAGAACTCTTCGTGTCCAAGTGACGTGAAATATAAAATACCTATGTTAGTTCTAAACTCTGCAATTAACCCCTTGGCATATGCTTTCTTCAAGCGTGACATTAAAAGGGCACTACAAGGAAAATAGCTTTCTTCTGAGTTTGGTCGATTTAAAAAAATGTATTTTAGATTGGAAATTCTTATTCTTAGCGCGGATACTTCAAATAGACTTGGTGAACGTGTTCGCTCCAAATGTCGTGATAGGTTGTGCAGTTCTAACCATAGAATAAAAAATAATTGTTGCCGGTATCTTTAATTGTGATAAATTCTGGTACGTTATATTATTATTACTCCATTTTTTATTGCGATCTCCGGTTGATAGAGGTCTCAACAATTACTCTTTAGAGTAAACTTCACCTCAAGTTTGTTTGTTTGGAAAAAAAGTGCAGGAAATTAGCTTCTGCCTCGCTCAGAGGTTGATAGTGATTTTCACTGGTTGATTATAAATTCTCTTTAAATGTTTCTTACTGACTCCTACTGGGGGCTTCCATTAAGAACGAATATTGTAAATTTTTATTAACATCAATACCTTGCCTGACCAATTCTTTGGTGTCAAAATTCAAGAAGTAGCCAAAAAAGAAATAGAGAATTAAATACAACACCGGTCACGTAATTTTACATCTGTTTTTTCACATGTCAAAGGGAAAAGTGTATCATTTGAAAAAATATTTTAAAACCAAAGGCCAAACACACAGCCTTGTGGCCGTTCTCTCCTTATATCCCCTCATTATAAAATGCATTGCCAACCCCCTAAGAATGTCTTGTTTACAAGGTAGGTAATTTCCCATTGGGAAACAGATCTTTTTGTGGTTGACATGCCAGCTGAGCAGTGAGGGGAGATTAGATGGCAGTTATTAGCTAATGGGAAAGGAGATCAAATGTTTGTTTCTAATAGATCCCATAGCAATAAATGCAAATAATTCACTTGAATATTCACGTCGCGGATCCTGCCCGTTTTGCGGTCATTGCGGAGCGTAAAGGTCAACAGTGATGTTGTTGATAAGCGAGCGATTATCGTGCAGTTGCGATGAGTTCGAGGCAGTGAGCAAGAGGCCGGAGCACACGTTACCTGCAGATTTGGAGCGGATTCGTCGATTATTCTCAAATTTATAGCCATTTGCGTGGAGGCGCGTGGAGATAGTCCGTTTGTTTTGCAGCCAGCCTTTAATTCTTCTTTAGTCAAAAAAGGCAACAGGTTTATTAAGCAAAGTAAAAACTCTGAACGTGCAGCGCAGTTTTTGGCAGATTCCTTCGCTCGCCATCATCCAGGGGCACCCAACGAGGATATAGTTCAAAACCACTTAACATAGCATTGGTGAACGTATTTCAGTATTCAAACGGTAGATATAGGCATCTTTTTATCCCCTAAAAACTTTTCATCTGTTCGGATTTCCTAGCTGAAAGTCTAGTGATCCGAAAATTATAGGGATAAAAACTTACCCTCTCGAAAATTTCAGCCAGGAAAAGGCTCCCGAAAATTCTAGGTGGTCTTTTTTAGGGACAAAATCCGTTAAAAATGGGTAATTATACCATTTTGTAGATGTTCGAAAATCCTAGGAGAGGCAGGCAAGCAAGAAATTTTACAACAAATGCTCCGAAAATTCTAGATCTCAAATCGCCTTCCGAACAGATATTTTCCCGAAAATTGCCGTTGGGTGCCCCTGATAATCGCACTCTTCCCATTTAGGGAATCAGGATTCCGAAATGCGGGAAATTTTTGCTTGGAATCCGGAATGCCGCTAATGATCGAAATCCGGAATTTAAGTCAGTGACAAAAGTCAGGAATCCTAGACCTGGAATCCGGAATCTATGGCGTGGAATCCAGAATCCGAGATTGTCTTAATTCTTGGATTCCCTTATATGGGGCGAATCGCACGACTATTGTTGTCAAATTAAAATTGAACAGATATGGCTATATATGCAATCGTTGCTTTAAATATCTTAAGATCATCATTTCATAAATAGCGGTCATGGCGACTTCAGTTTTGTTAGAAATACCCGTAGAGAGGCTCATCCCATTGTGTCCAGGTTCATGAATATTGACACACACTACGTCTGGGCCGCCTGTGGTGACACTACCTCTCAGTATGAAACAAGCGGCAAAAATCACATTTGCTAAGTTAAAACGTCAAACCCTCCAGAGCATAATCTACACGCCAGAGAAAAAGTTACATTCCAGTGTATCCACGTGACAAACAACGATCTTGCTAGCTGACAGATAATGGGCAATTACAAGACAAGAGGGCGCAATAGCGGCCTCAGCGGTTTGTCTACAGGCTCTCCCCCTTTCCCTTCCCTCTCCTCGCGATTTTGTCACCCTTTCCCCAAACAGGCTACTGTTGCATGTAGTAAAAAGTCACAATGCGTGTAAAAGGAAGAGGTTTCAAATTACACGTGACATAAGCAAATTTTATCCGTTTGCAAGTTTCTGTCGTGCTCATGCTACGAACACGAACAGTACACTCGGAAATTTCCTCTATCATATATTCAGCGTTATCTACGGCTCCCTATTTTTTGCTGTACGTTTTGTGGTAATTTTTGAAAGGCTCTCAAAAACATTACAGTTTTTGAGTTCAATCTCGACTACGTTCGTATATTCACAAATATAAAAACATTTTTGATAGTTCAAACGATAGACTTGATACAAAAATACTGAGTCAGATTTCAAAACTTCAAGATAAAAAACCATTCGTTGGTTTTTTTTATCGCCTAAAAACTTAAAACTTATTGTCGCTTAAATTGTATTTACAGGCTAATTGCTGTTGGTCGGTGCGTTCGCTGTACGTGCGTCCGAATGGTTATTGCTATTTTTTCTCGAGAAATAAGTCGTTTCTCGAAATCCTTGATGATGATTATCAAAAAATGCTGGTTTCTGGGAACTCGAGGCTCGATTTTCGCGTTTCATTTCGAAATTTGATTCGTTCGAGTTTCGAGAATTCTTTTTCTTAGCCGTTTTAGTCTCGTCACGCAATGATGCTTAGCATTGTGTGACTACAGGTTGAGCATAGTTAATAAATAACAATTATTATTCATTCAAAATATTTTCCCAATTCTGATTGGCTAAAAGCACACGCATAATTCACCATAACCAGTTACTGATGACCAAATTTGGAATAATTTTGTGTTTAACGAGGAAATGACGTCAAAAATGCAGCCTTCTACAGGTTAATGCACTGTTAACCGAGAAGACCTGGGGACGAGATTAAGTTGTTTTCGTTGCAAAAACTAAAATAGCGGACACTTCACTCGGTTCAAGAGTAAGATCTACAGCTGGAACTAGGCGAAATAATGGCAAAAAACATAGCAAAAACAGCAAGAAGACAACTCGGAGGGCGACATCTGCTATTTGGAGAATATTTGCGGAGCTGGAAAAACCTAAACGTAAACTATCGAAGATAAACTTAACATCGATGCAGGTAAGCTTGTTTTAGCTATGTTTTTAAACTAGGAATTATTTTGAATGAATAATAAAACAATTATTGAATTCGGCTTTCGTATCATATGAAGAATTATGGAGATCTCGGAGGGTGTTATCCGCCTCGGCCTACGGCCTCGACGGATAACACCCTCCTCGATCTCCATAATTCTTCATAAGATACTCAGCTTCATTCATTAATTGTTAATTAATTATTCACCGACGTGAGGGTGACTAGTGGTGGTTAGCCACCGACACTAAGGTGAATAATTGTTCGTTTTAGTATATACTAAAACAGTGAGATAATTCAGCACAAAAATGATGATTTTTAACTCATTTACTGTAGCCTGCAACGATTACAATTTTGGCGCGCAATGACCGAACGGCCGCGGTCGTCGCTTTTTCTTGCTGACAATTAAAACTTTTGAAAGCATTTGTTTAGCTCTCGCGGGGAAATTTCCTCAAAAGGAGTTGTGAATTCTCTTTGTATTTAAAATCATTCTGTAAAAAAGATGATTAAATTTAGTTTTAAGCTTATTTATGAACAAGTCAACGAAATAAAGTAACGCAAGACCGTAGGCTTAATTTGCATTTGTAAACAAAAAACTTTTTCGCCGGTTTTATCGATAAATTCAAGTCAAAAAGACAACGCTTTACCTGTTAAAACTTCCACCCCGAACTTCGTCACCTTCTTCGTGTATTTCTAGAACAGCTTGCTTAATTAGTTGTGAAATTTCTTTGTTACGGCAGCAAACCGGGAAGGCATTTTGCTCAAAACTTGCGCGAGTTTGGTGTCGCTCACTCGGAGGACCTGGAGATGAATCAGTGAGTGGTGCAGGATATTCACTGATTGAGAAGCCAATCAGAGCGCGCGAAAAACACAATCCACTGTTTTAGTATATACTAAAGTGGAATAGTTTTTAAGCCCGACAGACTTCTTTCTTACATGTTTTTGTTAGCGCTTTTAGACTTGACCGTGCACAACGTTCAATAGCTTTTCCTATCATTTTGAACTTACTGACCAATAGAAACATTGCATTAATTTATTCAGTAACAATTTGTGAACAAAAAACAAAGGATTGTGCACGGTCAGGGAGCTTCCAACATTAACTACAGCACTGTTGTCTTCATCTTTGTTGTTTACCAGCTTTCATAGCCACGCAGTCTCCTCTACTAACTATGGGTTGAGAAGAAGAAATTTAAAAACAGAAAAAAAAAAACAAGATTGGCCCTTGAATGTTAGCTGACCCTTTACTATGCTACTATTTGTGCCCTTGAGTTGGATATAAATTTGAAGCTTCTCGATCAACCGAATAGAGCACCACTTGTCTTGCACTACACGTTTGACACGTTAATAAAGTTATTGATTTTTGTTTGTACGGGATCCTGGAAATGGGGCTCAGGCAAAACATTTTCTTAGGCAGCAGCCTTGACAGAAGACAAAACTGAGTTCTTATAAAAACACAAAATGAAGTTTTTCGAAGCATCAAGACGCTAGGCAGGATTGTGCCCAAAAACACAAAAACTTCCCAACACCCTCTATGTTAAATTAAAAATAGGAATAAAAGCACAACACACTTTTATATTTGTATACTTAATAGCGTTTATATAGTTGATCGATTAAACTCGCAAATTCGAGCATTCAGGTCTAAACATTCCCCGGATGGATTAAC